GAAAGCCCCCCCCCCCCAGGGGGCATGGCCACCCTTCAATCCTTCATTCTCCTTTCAGGATTTTGGACGTGCAAGCACAAGCACATGGCATGCTTTCTTTCTTTCTTCCCTTCTTTTTAAGCCTTATTCATTTATTTAGAGGGACACAGGGGGGAGGGGCAGTGAGAAAACAAGCCTCCGGGTCCAGGATTCAAACCTTGGTCGGCCATGTAGGAGTCCAGTGCCCCCAACCACCATGCTGCCTGCGGCCCCACACTCGGTGTATTTTCAAGCCGCCTGTCTGGGACTCGAGTTACGCCACTGGCCATGCGAGATCCAGTCAGTCATCTTATCTATCACACCACCAACCAGCCCAAACACGGATTTGAAGGAACTGTGGCAGGCAGAATAATTGCCCCTTCACCCAAGAAGTTTGCATCCTACTTCCTAGATCCTGGGAATATGCTGCTCTACGTGACAAAGGGGTTCGGCGGTTCTGATTAAGTTACGGATTTTGAGATGAGGGTAATCACAAAGTTCCTTATAAGTAAAAGAGAGAGAGGGGCAAGTCAGGATCAAAGATGTGACGAGCGAAGGGCAGAGTGGTGCGATGGCGATGGCAGGCTTTGAAGACAAGGGGCCAGGAGCCGAGGGAAGAGGGCAGCATCTAGAAGCTGGAAAAGGCAGATTCTCCTCCCAGACTCCAGAAGGAAGGCAGCCCTACAGATGCCCCGAATTTAAGCCCTAAGACCACATTCAGACCTCTGACCTCCAAAACTGGCAAAACATTAAGTATTTGTATTGTTTTAAGTAGACACATCTGTGGTCATTTGTTGTAGCAACTACAGGAAATGAATGCAAGAATATTCATTTCATCTCTTAGTACTTTGACCATCCTGTTAAGCCTGAATCTCAGCGTTTGAATCATTACATTTCACATTATTATCACATTTGTGCTATAAAATTGCATGAACTATTTCTGGTTGCTAATAACTATCAGGTTTTCACTGAAATATATTTACCTTTAAGTAAACAACATATCCCAAAATTAAATCTAGAGGCTAATTTCCTTATAATGGGGACCACCACTCCAGCGTTGATGGCAAGTTAACAATGCAATTTTACTATGACTCCTTAAATTGTTACAAACAAGTTAAGTCTGGCTAGTTAAGGCAGGCAGATCCCCAGAGCCCACAGCGGCCCGAGAAACACGCTGAGTGCCTGTGCAGTGTGCCAGTATCCGGGAGGAAGAGAGATGGAGGGGCTGCAGTGTGACTGTGCCCCAAGGGGTGCTTTCTCCTCCCCCTCTCTCTCTGAGGAGCATGCACGTCCCCCACAAAATCAAAACAAAACAAGTTAAGTCTTGGTAGGAGAGAGCGGAGCCTGACAAATGATGGAAAATGGGCCATACCTTTGCAGGCAGAGAACTGGCTGTCGCCCTGCGGCCATGGCCTTTCACTGCGTGCTAACGGAGGAGCCGCTGTGAAGGTTTGCTGCGAGGCCTCACTCTGTGATAGCAGTTCCCAGTGGTCGGCTTTTTTTTCTTTTCTTTTTCTTTTTTCTCTTCTTTATTGTGCACCTGCACAAGCACAATGAGGGTAAGAGAGACAGAGAGATGGACACCCTGCACAGGTTCTAGCCACACACAGTCCCCTTCCTCCAGTCCTTTTCAGATCGCGGGCACTCGTGTGCATGCCCTGCGTGTTTCACACTGACCAGGCCAGGGATTCGAACTGAGGTCGCCATGTGGGATCCAGCTTTTCTTGACCAGCTCCATCATTGTGTCACAGAGCCTGCCGGTATTATTTTTGTTTTGGGAAGAGTTTTCCAGTGGAAAGAAAGAAAATAGGAAAGACAGAGGTATTTTGGACAGTGTCTTGTTGATTATAAGTATTCACACCCTTCTTTTTTGCAGCAAGGTACTTGTCAGACATTCTTTTTTTTTTTTTTTTAATTTTTTTTTTTTTTGAGAGATTTTCACTGTAGGGCGCGTGCGCTCGCCAGACAGACAGAGAGAGACATAGAGACAGAAAGCGAGAAATCACCCCCCAGGGGGGATGGTCACGCCGCAATCCCTTCTCCTCCATTCTCCTCTCGGGATCTTGGGCACGCACACACACGCGCCCGGCGTGAGATTTAAGCCACCGGGTCCAGGACACGAACCGCGGTCGACTACATGGGAGTCCAGCGACATAGCCATTACGCTAACTGCTGGTTCCCTTGTCAGACATTCTTAAGGAATTATAATTGTAATTTTTTTTTAATTTTTTGCTATAGGGTGTGTGTGCTCACCACAGAAGGAGAGAGTGAGAAATCACCCCCCAGGGAGAAGGCCATGCCATAATCCCTTCTCCTCCACTCTCCTCTCAGGGTTTTAGGCATGCACCCCTGTGTACCTGATGTGACTTTGAAGCTGCTGGGTCCATGAGAATAATAGTACAGCTCAGGGATTGGCAGGTGGAGTGGTAGTTAAGGGTGCTGGACTTCCACATGGCCGACCATGGTTCGAGTCCTGGATTCAGTGGCTTGCTTTCTTACTCCCCCTAACCCTCCATACCTCACTCTGTCCCTCTCTGGTCAAATAAAAATAAATAAATAAAGTTAAATAAAATAATTCTTTTTAAAAAAGCACAGCTAGACATGTGGGATCCAGCACCTTAACCTCCACACTACCTGCTGGCCCCATGATTACAACTTTACTTTTTGTCATAGGGCATGTGTGTTCAATAGAGAGAGACAGAGAGATGGAGAGTGAGAAATCAACACACCACACACACACACACACACACACACACACCGCCCCCTGGGAAAATGACCACACTGCAATCCCTTCTCCTACAGTCTCCTCTTGGGATTTTGGGCGTGCGCACACACACACACACACACACACACACACACACACAGTGGATTCCAAGCCACCAAGTCTGGGTTTGAACCACACAGCCAGCTGGGTGAGAGTCCAGCACGTTAACCACTGCACCACCTGCTGGCCCCAAGTTGCAACTTTTTTTAAGTTTTATTTTATTTTATTTTATTTTATCTTATTCATCATTATTATTTGTTAAATTTGACCAGAGAGAGAGAGACAGACAAAGAGAGGAAAATGAAAAAAAAAAAAAAAAAAAAGCCACCAGGTCCAGGATTTAAACCATGATCAGCCATGTGGGAGTCCATCTCCTTAGCCATCACACCACTTGCCAGTCCCTCAGATTACACCGTTTTTTTTTTTTTTTTTTAGAGAAATTTTCGCTATGGGGTACATGTGCTCACTAGAGAGACAGGGAGAGAGAAAGTGAGAAATCACCCCACGTACACCAAGGAGATTGGCCACATCACAATCCCTTCTACTCCATTCTCCTCTTGGGATTTGGGGCACACCCACACCCAGCATGAGTTTCAAACCTCCGGGTCCAAGACTCAAAACACAGCCGACCACGTGGGGGTCCATGTGGGAGTCCAGCCCCTTAACTACCACCTCACCTGACGGCCCCCACATTACAACTCTTAAGGGCTGTAATTCCTTCAGATAACTAAAACAATAGCTTATACGTCAAAGAGAAAACAAATGCTCTCCCTTTGTCAACACTGACAAATTTAGAAGAATACAATTTTAAACATAATGTTCATTACTCCTACAATGATTCTTGAATTTTTTTAAAGAATTGTTTTATTTTAGCTTTTTTAAAATTTATTTGTTTATTTAAATTTGACCAGAGAGGGATAGAGTAAGAGTGAGAGAGAAAGAGAGAAGAAAAGTGAGAAAGCAAGCCACCAGGTCCAAGACTCGAACTGCAGTCGGCCATGTGGGAGTCCAACAGCCTTAACCGCCAAGCCACCTGCTGGCCCCTGACTCCTGAAATTTTACAAAGAAAACTCTGTACACAGACTAGTATCTCAACTTTTCCTAAAGTACTTATGAAAAACAAGAATATTTAGTCCTCATGCTGTTTTCCTAATGAACCAAAATGTGTTACACCCTAATTTGAAATCTTAGAAGTTACTTTAGTTGAGCACTTAGAGTTTAAGAAACCGAGCTTCAGAGATCCTGGTTTTATCTCTTCCTGTCATGTTTCAATATTATCCGGCCTCTGCTCTCTATAGAACATGATGAGTTCTTTTCTTCTTAGCCTCAGCCAAGGGTCATTTAGTATACTGACTTAAATATATAATTCACACGCAGATATACTTACGTACTTATTTGTTGTGATTTTCAAGAGGCCAGGTTCAAGACTCCAACCACAGTCAGCTATGTGGGAATCCAGTGCCTTTAACCAAAATGCTACCCGCTGACCCCTTATATACTGATTTCTTTTTTAAATTATTCTATTTAGCTTTATCTATTTATTTATTTAATTGACTAGCGAGGGACATAGAGAGAGAGCAAGAGACCGAGAGAGAGGAAAGTGAGAAAGCAAGCCACCAAGTCCGGGGCTCAAACTGTGGTTGGCCATGTGAGAGTCCAGCACCCATAACCACCACACCACCTGCCAGCCCTATGTATAGTGACTTTTAAAACAGTGTACACAGGGAACCAGCAGTTAGCGTAATGGCTATGTCGCTGGACTCCCACGTAGTCGACCGCAGTTCGTGTCCCGGACCCGGTGGCTTAAAAATCTCACGCCGGGCGCGTGTGCTTGCGTGCCCAAGATCCCAAGAGGAGAATGGAGGAGAAGGGATTGCGGCGTGACCATCCCCCCTGGGGGGTGATTTCTCGCTTTCTGTCTCTATGTCTCTCTCTGTCTGGTGAGCGCACGCACCCTAACTCTAAAAAAAAAAAAAAAAAAAAAAAAAAAAAAACAGTGTACACAGAGGCCAGCAGGTGGCATAGTGGTTAAGGTGCTGGACTCAGTTCCAGTCCTGGACCTAGCTGGGACCTGGCGGCCAGGCGCCCATCTGTGCATGCCTAAAATTCTAGGAGGAAAATGGAAGAGCAGGAATTGCCATGGCGTCATCTCCCCGGGGATGATTTTTGCTTTGTGTATCTCTGTCTCTCTCTGTCTCTCCGGCATGCTCTCTATACCAAAAATCCTCCCCCCTCAAAAAGTGTCCACAGAATAAATAGATTTGTTACAGAATATTTTCTTAAAATTCAGCTAGCATTGGGGCCGGCAGGTAGTGTGGTGGTTAAAGGTGCTGGACTCCCACATGGCTGACCTTGGTTCGAGTCCCAGACCTGGCAGCTTGCTTTCTCACTTTCTCTCTCATTCTATCCCTCTATGGTCAAATAAAAATAAATAAATAAATGGATAAAGATAAATAAAATAATTAAAGAAAATTTTTTTTAAAAATTCAGCTAGCATCAATGTGGATATCAGGGAGTCTTTTGCACTACACACTTTAATCTGAATTAGTAATATATCAATTACATATGCACAGTATCGGGGATTTTACTGTATTCTCTTATAAAATACCTTACACAACGTATTTTTCTCCTTCCTTGACATATTAAAATGCCTCTAGAGAACTTTTTGCTTCAGTGTGTGTTTAAGGGATACCTCCAGAAAAGTAAACTCTAGCCCTTTTTAAGCTGTACTTGAGAACTTCCCCTTCTTGCATTTCTGTAATGAGGCAGCTAATCACAACTAAGGGGATTGTAGAGACCTAAATGAGTATTCTAGACAAGACATTCCTGCAGAAGGTGGGCGGTGCAAAGACAATCTCTCCCTTTTCTGGGGACAGGAGGAGCATGGTAAGAGATGAACAATGCCCGGGATTACGAGGGAGCTCTTGACAAGCCTTTAGATGTTCAAGAGAAAGACCATCCAGAGGGGTCCATAAAAGAAACTGCCAGCAGTTAGCGTAATGGCTATGTCACTGGACTCCCATGTAATCGACCGTGGTTTGAGTCCTGGACCCGGTGGCTTAAACTCACGCTGGGCACGTGTGCATGCGTGCCCAAGATCCCAAGAGGAGAATGGGGGAGAAGGGATTGAGGTGTGGTCATCCCCCCAGGGGGTGATTTCTCTCCTTATCTCTCTGTCTTTCTGGCAAGGCTCACGCCCTATAGCGAAAACCTCTCCAAAAAGGAAAAAAAAAAAAACTGCCTGAGGATGGGGAGGGATGTTTTGTTTTGTTTTGTTTTGTTTTGTCAGAGAGCGTGCACTTGCCAGAAAGAGGGGGAGGGAGGGAAGCACCCCCTGGGGAGTGGTCACTGCAGCAAAGCACAGGTAGGATCTTGATGAGCAGAGAAGGGGCACATTCCAGGCAGAGGGAAAGTGTGAGCAAAAACAGAGAGATTTCCTAGGGCTGCTGCAACAAAGTACAGTCACAGGTCACTGAGCTACAGGGCTTCGTTCTGAGAAACGCACCAGCAGCAGGAGCACGCGTGCTTACTCCATCCATGCTCTAGCCTCCTGCACAGCGAAGCTGGGCGGTCTAGCCTCTTGCTGCTCCGCTACAGACCTATACAGCGTGTTACTGTTCCAAATACCGTAGGTGGCTGTAACACGATGGTAAATGGCTGTGTATCGAAACATAGCCGAGGTACTGTAAAACTTCGTTGCAGAAGATTTTATAAATAGTGCACCCGTATAGGGCACTTACCATGAAAGCACTTGCGGGGCTGGAAGTCGCTCTGGG